TGGCGGCCGGAGGAAGCCGCGGTCTGCGCCGCCCGCCGGACAAAGCGCGGAGCCCCGCTTCCTGCCATTGTGCGGCCGCGCCCGCCCCCGCTGAGCGCGGGGACCCCGGGGAGGGCCGGGCCCGGAACAGCCCCCAGCCCCCCAGGAAGGCGGACACCTCCCTCCCGCCCGGGCCCTCGCCACCCAGCCCCGGGGATCCCCGCCTCCCTGCCCGGGAACCCCCACACTCCCGCCTCCGCCCGCCCCGGCGACCCACACACCCGCGCCTCCGCCCGACCTGGGGTACCCCTGCCTCCAGCCTCTGCCCAGACCCGGTGACCCCACACCCCCACTTCCGCCCGGCCCGGGGACCCCCACATCCCCGCCTCTGCCCAGCCTCCGGGACCCCCACGTTCCCACCTCTGCCTGGCCTGGGGGACCCCCACCTCTGCGCCTCTTCTCTTCTCTGACTCCCTCCTCAATGCCAGTGCTGGGCTCAGAGGGCTCCTCAGAACTTGCTCTTTCCCCTGGGGAGCTCCTTGAATGCTGGAGGCAGGGGGCGCTGGTGACAGCCCCCACAACCGTGGAGACTGTGGAGCCCCTCCCCTGGGCGACCCAACCCCTGCCCAGCCCTGGGGCGCCCACCCTGCTGTGGTCCCCACCTCACCCTCAGCGCCAACACCAACGGTCCCTTCCAGCCAGAAGGGTACCTTCCCTCCTCCCTTCCTCCTGGAGACCCCACCCCCACCTCAGAGCCTCAGCCCAGGGGACCCCTTCTTCCTCCCAGCAAGGGAGCTCTTAGGATACAGGCACAAGAAGGGGTAAGCCAGGATGGGTGACATTCCCCTAGGGGTCCTTGGTCCGGCTCTCCATCTAGCCCCAGGGACACCTCTCTCTGCTCCAACACCAGTTTTGAGCCCCAGTCACACACCCCAACGTCACAACAGGAGCTCGTCTCAGTCCCTCCCATCATCCTGGAGACCCCTTCCTGAGAGCCTGAGCCCCAGTACACCCTCCCACACCGACTGCTCACTGCCCAGGTATGGCAGAGGCCAAGTGCCAAAGGCTGGTGTCCTCTGGAAAGTGCAGTGGGCAGAAGACGGACTGCTCCGAGAGGCTGTGCTTGGCAATCCCTGGGAGTTGGGTGAGGTGGAGGCATCAGGAAACCCTGGCGACCCACATGGCACAGCAGCCCAGGTCCCTGCGGCTCTAGGCCAGGTCCCCACCGCCAGGGGGCACTCAGCAAAGCCTGAGAGGATGCAAACCCCTGGACTTTGGTGCTGGAGTCATCACTACACAGCTGTCAAAGTGCTTTTACACTGATTCCCAGGAAGGCAGGGCATGCACTATTATCCCCACTCACAGGGTGGGGAATAAAGTGACATAAAGAGACATAAAAGTCCACGGGCAAGACTGAAACCCAGACTGTGGCTCAGGGATTCTGGAATGGCCTCCTTGAGGCACTCCTCAGAACCCATGGGGGTGAGGTGGCCGTGCTGTCTGTCATCAGCCCACTTACCCCTAATAGCTCCTCCTCCACCTGGTTCCATGGGGAAAGAGGGCAGGAAGGGCCAGGGTCCATAAGATGGCTTTGGGAGGGCAGCAGCAGTTTATTAGAGGCTGGGAGACTTCCAGGGCTGTCTCCGCTCCCAAAGCCCAGGTCATCCACTGTCTACACCACAGGCACAGTTGTGGGTTTTTTGTTTTTTGTTTTTTTGAGACAGAATCTTGCTCTGTTGCCCAGGCTAGAGTGCAGTGGCATGATCCCAGCTCACTACAACCTCCACCTCCCAGGTTCAAGCAATTCTCCTGCCTCAGCCTCCCGAGTAGCTGGGATTACAGGCACCTGCCGCTACATCCAGCTGATTTTTGTATTTCAGTAGAGACAGGGTTTCGCCATGTTGACCAGGCTGATCACTAACTCCTGATCTCAAGCGATCCACCCCCACCGTGGCCTCCCAAAGTGCTGCGATTCAGGCAAGAGCCATCGCACCCAGCCAACAGGCAGAGTTTTGAAAACTAAAACTTTCCATCTTGCTTAGAGTGAAATCCCACTATGGCCGGGCTCCTGCCTCGCTCCCAGCTGGTTCACACAGTGGTCCACCTGCTGGTCTCCCTTCTCTCCCTACAGCTCACCAAGCTCAGGGCCTTCTCCTCTGTATTTTCTGTCTGGAATTCCACATGCCCCCCTCTTCAAACAGCTGGCACCAGGCCCCACCTTAAATGCTACCTCCAAGACATCCCTTTCCCTCCTCTCAAAATAAACCACCCTTACCCTCTCACTCTCAATTCCTTTAAGTTAAATTATTTCCTTCTTAGCGTTTCTTACTACCTGTAATTCATTTCTTTGTTCACTTTCTTATTATCATTCTTCCCTACTAGACTGTCCACTCCAGAGGCCAGAGCCTTGGCTGTCTGGATCTCACTGTGTCCTCGGCACTTAGAACAGTCCTGGTGCACAGTAGGTGCGCTGGTGGGGATGAGATCAGTGAACGGATGAAGGCAGAAGGGCCCTCATGCCATAGAAGGACATGGGGACAGGAAAGGGCTCGGCCAGGATATTCCTTCCTGTGGCCGACGGTCAACAGAACCTTCCCCACTGCCAGACCAAAGGTCTCTTCCTCCCCCTAGTATCCATGACCTTGGGCCTACTGGCCCTGGACAGGTGAGTTCCTACTTCAGACTGGATGGTCTTGCCCCAGACCTCCACCCCCTGGCTGCCCCATAGGCAGATAACTGCATTTCACTGAGCGTTCCCATGTGCCACCCCTGTCCCGGGAGTTCTGGGCAGTGAATCCCATTCACTCTTCTCAAAGACTCTTAGGAGGAGATACTGCTACGATCCCCATTTAACAGATAGAGAAACTAAGGCCTGTGTCAACTGACTTGCCCCAAAGTCTCCAGCTGTTGCTACGAAGGGAAATGGATGCCTCAGGCACAGGGCAGGGGTGGGGCCTGAAGACGGCTGAATGTTGGTTAGGGCTACAGGGCCTTGGAGACTGCCTTCCTGAAGACACGGCAGATCCCAAAGCCAGCTTGCGGGGAGCCCACCGGTGTGGGGTTGCATCAAGTGGAGACCGCCAGGGCTGGGTCAGGGCGGATCACCAGAGGTCACCTGAGTGCCTGGGCCCTGGCCATCCCTGAGTGAGGCTGCTGCCTGGGTACTCGGTGACGGTGGGGGACTGCCCCTTAGGGGCAAGAGTGCAGAGCAGAAAGGAGCCCCCAGCCCCTGTACCAGGGCAGGGGGGTGGGCCTGGGCAGGCTCCTGCATTCCCACCTCCTCACCACAGCAGGGAGCTGAAACTCAGGGGCAGGCCCAAGAAGTCCTGGCCCCCAACTCTCTGAGGAGGGAGCCCCTCCCCAGCCCAGCCCCAGCTCCAGGCTTGTGAGTCAGGGCCGGCTTGTTGAAACTGATACCCAGAAACCAGATGCGGAGGCTGATGAATAATGGAGTCTCCAAGGCAGGACCACCCCCCCTACCCGGCTGTTCTCCCTCAGTACCACCTCTCCCAGCCCCAGACAAGGAGATGGGAAACCAGGGATCCCCCGGGCATCCCTGCCCCACAGCAAGTTGGGGCCCCAGCCTGGTCTGAGTGGGAGAGGGACCTCCCTGTCCAGGAAAGGACGCAGGTCTGGGGCCAGCTCCAGGCTCTGCCGACAGCAGACAGGCCTGGAATCAGGAGTCCGAGCTCTCTGGCTGGAGGGATGTCCTTGCCAGGAGTTCCCACCAGGGCTAAGCTCCCCTGGGAGGCTGCTAGTCCCGAGACCCCACCCAACACCTTGGAAATCCAGGGGTGGAGACTGCATGCATGGGCAGGCCAGCCAGGGCGGGGTGGCTTCGCCAGGCGGCTCTCTACACTCCACCCGGCCCACCCCCCCCTTTCCTCTAGGCCCAGGCCTCACCCATCACCCCTTGGGTTCTGAGGCTCACCTGGAGTCAGAGCCCGACCTAAGGCCCTGCCTGTGCTGGGCAGATGGCAGGGACACAGAAAACCTCTCCCTAGGCTATGCTTGCCGCACAGGCCCTGGAAGCCAGGAAGCCCCTTCCTCCCCAGGGAGCAGTCCTGGCCGGGATGCCCAAGGCTGGGACCCAGTGCGAGAGAGAGAGGGAGGGGCTGCAGTCTGTGAACATCCCCTCCTGCCCAGCCCCTGCAGTTCCCAGCCCCAGACCCCAGCGTGTGTCTTTGGAGCACCTGGACTCAGCAACCCCTGCCCCAGTGCCACTTAGAAGGCTCCTTGGTAGGGAGCAGGGGAAAGAGGGCACCTGCCTGGGCTTCAGAAGACCTGGTCTGGAGCCTACGTACCCCTGCCCTTCCCCCACTGGGCCTCAATCTCCCACCTATGCTAAGAAGGCATTGGCTATTCTCTAGAATTCAGTATCTGGGGATGGCTGCCAGGTCCTAGCCTGTGTCTGGACCCTGGCTAAGGGGCAGGAGAATGGTAAAATACCCCCGAGCTCCCTCAACTTGAAGAGTTACTGAGGAATCTGTAGGGGACCCCTTGGCTTCCATTTCCCAGACTTCCATCAAGGCAGACCAGGGCCTCCCCGGATTCACGGGTCCCCCGCATCCCCACCTCTGAGCGGGTGCCTGGGTCTGCTCAGACTGCCCGAGGCGCAGCCTCTGGCGCCCCCTGCCGGCCTCCAGTGGGCTTTTCCGCCTGGGACCGACTCCGGGACTGGCCAAATGGGGAGGGTCGCCCGAGCCTCCCAGCCATGCCGCGCGCCCAGGCCCCTCCAGGATCCCCCTAACCCGCCAATACCCCCCATAGCGGGGCCAGGGTCCCATAGACTCCTCACGGCCATATCTCCGAGCCGACCCGCCCTAGAGACACTGTGATGGGGGCGGGCGCTTGAACCCATTCCACCCTCATGTAAATGGAGATACAGCGGGCGAGGACCCCGTACCCCAGAGGCCTGGCACTATGTGGGACTCTCGACTCCGGGTTCTCTCCATCGGTTTAGGGGGGTCCTGGCGCCCAGTCCCACCCCCCGTCCGGAGCGCAGCTTCCCCGCGACTTACCTAGGGACAGGACCAGGGTCTCCTCCCCAGTGTCTGAGGCTTGGGCCGAGACTGCCAAAGCCTCATGGGGCGCGCGGGGAGAGGGGGACGGGAGCCGCGGGAAGAGCTCAGTCGACTCCGCGCCAACTGGGGCGCGGAACGTAGGGGAATTACGGTAGCCGCGCGGGCGCTACCACCTGGATGGGCCGGGATGTACCAACGGCGCCGTCTGGCTGGGACCGGGAAGAGGAGGGGTCCCAGGAAGGGCCCCGCGCCGGACCCAGGGAGGTAGCTGGAAGCCGGGCCGTGGCTTGGGGTAATCCAGGATCCGGGCTCAGGGTAGGGGGTGGGGGGCGTCACTGTCCCCGAGGGGCCAGCCCTTTTCAGATCTCCAAAAAGTTCACAGTCCCTGGTCATTAACTTGGGCTTGAAGACGGGAGCTCGCCCATCCCGGAAGGGGGCTAGGGGGGACCAGGGCCCGCGACAGGAAGCCTCCCCGAGACAGAAAAGCCCTGGGGGACCAGGCAAAGGGACCCGCAGGCCTAGCTCGTCCCGGAATCGCCCCGAGCCAGGCTTGCTTCCGCTCCATTGTAAAAAGCTGGATTCTGATCTGTGGCCTCCGCGGCGCCCCAGAACCAGCCCGCTTTTCTCTGGGTCCCCTCTTTTTTTTTTCTGGCCCAGGTGGCATGGCCGGAAAAGGGTGCCGTTCTAACATTTAGTGGTTCTCAGTTCCCGTCTCCCAGCAGCGGGAGTTTAGAATAACTCTGGGCTCAGGACTGGGAAGGGTGTGGATACAGGGGGCCCACTCGAGGAGGCGGGGTTCAGGTCCACCAGCCTTTTCCGCACTTTCAAGCCTTCTACACTGCCTTCCCCCGATCCCTTCCCAGGCCAAAACCTCCACCCAACCCTTTCGGTTGGGCCTATACTAGGGCAGCTCCCAGCCAGGGCCAGGGATCCCCACATCTTCACCTGCTCCCCCAAAACTACTTAGCCAAAACCCAGGAGTCCCCTTGCATTGTTTCTCTGGGCCCTGCCCCTTTCTTCAGCTGCAGACAGCCCTACCACCTCTCTCCGGTGACGAGTCACCTCCAGAGACGGCCCAAACCTGGCCATTGCCTGGGGCATCTTGGTCTGCCGCTGCTCAACCCCAAAGCATTGCCCAGGAGAATAGGCGATTGCCTCTCCCATTATTCACATCCTGCCCGTCCCTTCTCCATGGGGGCCTCAGGCCCACCCTTTCCTCTCCCTGGTCTTCATCTCACCAACCCTCCCTCCACACACGCACACCCTGACTCATCCCTGCCACCTCACAGGCCATTGTTAAGCTGCAAGGGAACTCTGAAGTCCTCCCATCCAACCGCCGCTCCACACTGCAATCCCCTCTACGCTTCCCTTTCTGTCTCTTCTTGCATATGTCTAGTGATGGGGTGCTCACTACCTCTATTTCAGGGATAGCTCCAGCTGCTGGAAACTCTTTCCTGTAGTGTGCTGAACCCCACCTCCCTGTCAAGGCCCTCAGGAGCTGTGCAGAAAAATTCACCTCTCTTTCCTCTTGAGAGTTCTGAGGAAATGGGAGGCTCTGACAGGCAGGCCTGGTTTGAGTCCTGGTTTTGCCTTGCTTGCCAAGTCATTTTACCTTGCCACTCTGCAGGGCCCTCTCTAGGAAATGGAGATGGGGTAGGCCCCACTGCAACGGGGGAAACAGCCAGATGAGGTTCCTGTGCCAGGCACTCAGGCAGGGCCTGGCACACAGTACACGCTGGATCAATGGTGGCTGCTGGAATCACTACCTCCTCCGTGATGAACACCCTCACATGTGATGCCCCCGTGTACCCTGTGGCCCAGGGCCACAGGTGTCCTCAATACCCCCTTGTGACCTGGAGCACCCTGACTAGACCTCGAGCAGTGCCCAGTGGAGCCCAGCAGGGAGCTGGGAAGTCCACACACTGTCCCGTGGCCACCTCGCAGGAGGACAGGGGGAACCCACGGTATCATCAGTGTGCCTCGATCTCCCCGCCTTTCTCCGTCTCCCCACATCACAGCTCCACCTGCCTCGATCTCCCCGCCTTTCTCCGTCTCCCCACACTCACAGCTTCACCTGCCTCGATCTCCCCGCCTTTCTCCGTCTCCCCACACTCACAGCTCCACCTGCCTCGATCTCCCCGCCTTTCTCCATCTCCCCACACTCACAGCTCCAATTGTGTGCAAGAAGCTGCAGCTGGGATGGACCCTGGGGAGATCCCAGGACCCAGATCCCAGGGCGGGTACAGAGGGCACACCCAAAGTCTAGAGGTGACTTTGTTACCCCCACTCCCAGGACAGCTTGCATGCCTACGCTGTGCTAGGCTCTATGCTAAGCATGTTATATATGGGCCTCTTTTAATCCTCGCTGCAGGATTATTTTCCAGATGAGGAACCTGGGGTTCAGAGAAATGTAGTGACTTCCCCAGGGTCTCACAGCTAGAAAAAAGTAGATTTGATCCTGGAGCTCAGAGGTGTGGACTGCTCTACATATGTTCATCTTGGGGAGGGGCGGTTTCTCTCCTGGGGTCTCAATGATACAGTCCAGACCCCTCACCTGGACATGCAGATGCTCCCAATGCCACCTGCCTCCACCTCCTCCCGTCCCCTTCTCACTGTGCCCCCTGGCCTTGCTTGCCCCTTATAGCCCCCAGTGTCCCTCCCCTGCTCACTCAGCTTTCCTCCATCTCAGTACCTCTTTAATCCTCAGGACTCCAGCTGCCTCCTCCAGGAAGCCCATCCTGGTTAGCCCTCCTCCCAGTGGGAACTCCAGGGACAGGAGGTAGGGGACAGATGGCAAATTCATCTCAGAAGCTCCAGCACCCAGGAGAGCCTCAAATAAAACATCAAGGGTGGGCCCAGAAGCTGAAGGGTCCAACCCTGCCTGAAATCGATCCTTTGCCAGGGCAGCCTGGGGGGACGTTTGGCCAGCCAGGGTCACTTCCCTTCCTTCCTCCCAGCACAGCTAGAATGTCATCTCTAGGAGGGCATCCCCTTTGTTCCCTGGAGATCTCCTGGGCCTAGAACTGGGCCTGGCACCGACAGATGCTCAAAGCTGGTCTGGTAAATGAATAAATGAAGTCATCTCCTTCAAAATGCTAGTCACATCCTGGAGAATAAGAATGGGGCTCTTACCCCGTCTCTACTAAAAATACAAAAAACTTAGCCGGGCGCGGTGGCGGGCGCCTGTAGTCCCAGCTACTCGGGAGGCTGAGGCAGGAGAATGGTGTAAACCCGGGAGGCGGAGCTTGCAGTGAGCCGAGATCAAGACACTGCACTCCAGCCTGGGCGACAGAGCAAGACTCTGTCTCAAAAAAAAAAAAAAAAAAAGAACAATGTTCAACATGTTTGGTCAGCAATAATTGTTATTATTATTATTGGGTGTTTTTGGACACAGAGTCTGTGTCTGTTGCCCAGGCTGGAGTGCAATTGCGCGATCTCAGCTCACTGGAAACTCCACCTCCAGGGTTCAAGCGATTCTCTTGCCTCAGCCTCCTGAGTAGCTGGGATTACAGGCGTGTGCCACCATGTCCAGCTAATTATTTTTTATATTTTTGGTAAAGATGGGATTTCACCATGTTGGCCAGACCAGTCTCCAACTCCTGACCTCAAGTGATTTGCCCACCTCAGCCTCCCAAAGTGCTGGGATTACAGGTGTGGGCCACTGTGCCTGGCCTGTTATTATTTTTGAGACAGGGTCTCGCTCTGTTGCCCAGGCTGGAGTGCAGTGGCACAATCACGGCTCACTGCAGCCTTGATGTACTAGGCTCAAATGATCCTCCCACCTCACCCTCCCCAGTAGCTGGAACTACAGGTGTCCACCACCACACCTGACTAATTTTTGTTGTTGTTTTGTTTTAGACGGAGTCTTGCTATTATTGCCCAGGCTGGAGTGCAATGGCACGATCTCGGTTCACTGCAACCTCTGCCTCCCAGATTCAGGCAATTCTCCTGCCTCAGCCTCCCGAGTAGCTGGGATTACAGGTGCCCACCACCACGCTCAGCTAATTTTTGTGTTTATAGTAGAGACGGGGTTTTGCCATGTTGGCCAGACTGGTCTTGAACTCCTGACCTCAAGCAATCTGCCTGCCTCGGCCTCCCAAAGTGCTGTGATTACAGGTGTGAGCCACCGTGATAGGCCTTTTTAAAAATTTTAGTAGAGAGAGGTCTCCCTGTGTTGCCCAGGTTGGCCTCAAACTCCTGGGCTAAAGAAATACTCCTGCCTCAGCCTCCCACAGTGCTGGGATCGCAGGTACGAGCAACCACGCCCAGCCAGTAGTGGTTATTATTATCATCATCGACAATGTTATTCTTTGTTCCTCTTACCAAATCTGAGTGCCCCTCACCTCCTCTCCACCACTGCCTTTCCCTTCCTGGACTGCCCTTGCGTCTCTTCTGTCTATCCATGTTTTCACATCCATTAAATGCCCCCTCCTCCAGGATGCCCTCCCTGACTGGCCCTCTCTGCCTCTGATAATTCAGGCATTTCTGCCCCTACAGTGAGTCTGTGCCATTTGTCCCAAAGGGGGTCCCAGTGGTGACAGGGCCCAGACTCTCCCTGTGCAGGCTGGATGACCCTCATCAGCTGATGCCAATGTCAGCTGTGCCGAGTTCCAGGCAGGCCAGGGCTGGAGGTGAGGTTTAGAGGCTGCAGAAGGACCACACCCACTCTGAGACCAGCTCTCTTCTCCCAAGCCTCACCTCTATGCAGGCTGGGCCCTACCACCCCTGCCCCTGCCTGAGCAGCTTGAGGGCCCACCCTGGGAGCAGCTGCCCAGAGGAGGGGCTAGGACAGTGTGCCTTGTTGCCCTAGCTGCTCCTTCAGGTCAGGCAAAAGCCTCGGGGCTCTGCAGGCCTGTGGCAGGATGTATATTGGGGGGAGCTGAGGCCAATTTGTTGCCAGGAGCCCCCATCTGGGAAAGAGGCAACCAGCCAACACCAGAGTCCAATGCCAGGCACCATCCGTGCCAGCAGATTGTATCTGACATCACACCGCCCCTCTGCCTGGTGACCACGGCAACTGGAGGCCGCCCCCTCCTCGCCCCACCCCACAGCAGTTCTCCATGTTCCCTCACCACGGTCCTCCTGTGCAGAATGAGTGTGTGTGTGTCTGGGTGGAGGTGCGGGAGGGGAGCAGGGGGTGGGGGGTGGCATTTTACATTTCCTGCAGCTGGCAGTGCTGAGACACATGATGGAAGAGAACAGGGGCCCTGGTATGACACAGACCTGGGTACTGGGTTCAAATCCCAGCTCTCCCACTTCCTAGCAGTCTGTCCCTGAGTGAGCCACTTCACCTCTCTGAGCCTCAGTTTCCCCATCTGTAAGTGGGAATAAGGACAGGACCATCTCAGAAGGCCAGAGGGAGGAGTCAGTGAGTCCTGGTGCCTGGGCCAGACACTAAGTTGCGCAGTTACTACTATTGTCATGTAAATGCCTGCTGGGAGGGACAAAACCTGGCTCCAAACCCCGGCTCCATCTCTTATGAGCTGTGGGGCCTTGGCCAAGTCACTGGACCTCTCTGAACCTTGGTATCTTCATCTGGAAAACAGGGTGACGATGCCTTCCCTGCAGAGCTGCGGCAAGCAGTGCATATGGCACAGAAAGCGGGTGGCACCGAGCCCAGCACGTCACAGGCAAAAGCGCCCAGCCAGTACTATTATCTTTCTTCCTGCCCCTTTTCTCCCTGATTTATACTTCATCCCATTCCCAGCTCCTGAGCCCTGGCACTCCAGGATCATCTGGCCCCTTCCTCCTTTTGTCATCCCCAGGGCCATGGTCACACTCACCAAGTCCGAAAGCATCTCAGACCCATGCCCAGGCCTGAAGAGTGGCTGAGTACAACAGGAAGGGTGCCAGCTGGGCACTGGACCAGCACTGTGGGAGACCACTTCCCCTGGCTAAGCCTCAGCTTCCTCATCCGTGGCATAGGGCTACAGCTCCTGTCACCTCCGAATGGCTGCTAGGACCACAGTGCAGCAAAGGGCTTTGGGGTACCCCACCCCCCTGCTCTCCACTGTTCCTGAGCCGGGGACAGGCCCTCTGCCTCCTAAACCAGACACACTGGGGCCCCACCTACACTCAAACCCAGCCCAGTCAGCCGCAACTGTGCCAGGGCTCTGTGGATAGCTGGTGCTGGAATGGAGAGGGCAGTTAGAGCCCCCTGGTCCCTCTACCCCCAAGTGTCCCCAGGCTCTCCAGTCTCCCTACCTTGGACGCCCGCCCCTTGTCCATGCAGGCGGGGTTCTGACAGCGCAGTCCCTTCTTTTCCGCGGGGCTCTGGTCGTCTGCAGGGGAGGAGCAGAGGGCATCAGTCGGCGGGGCACCAGGCTCCCCAGGCCCCAGTGGCCTCCCGACCAGAAGAGGGGTGGGGCGATCTCCTCAGTCCTCCCTTCAAAGGAGGTCAGTGTCCCTTTCTCTTTTAAATGCCAACTTATCTGCACGGGAATCTGTTTGCAGAGCCCTTTTCTCCTGCAGTCCCCAGGGAAATTATCCAGATTCCACGGGGAGAAAACATTTTTGGAAATACGCTGCTCTC